CGCTGAGAATGCTGTTCGGGCAGAAACGAGTGACGAGTCCGGTGGCTTAACCAGTAACGATGTGGGGATTATGTTGTGTTTCATGCATCGTTTATTGAATATGCGGTGGTTCTCCCAGTTTACCTCTAGCCTTGCCAGTCGAACGTAGTCACTTGACAATTTGCGAACACATGGTCCGTAGATGTTTTCAATCAATTGGAAAAGGTTTGGAAACGATCGAGAATTCATCGTTTCAGAAGAGCTTGATAAACAATCGGTAGTTTTTATTTGGGCAGCGTTTCGCTTTTGACACAAAAGCTTCATCAGACCAAGTGAACAGGTCACCAAATTGGCCAGGTTATAAAACAGACGGGGAACCAATCAGTAAGTCCTCTTCACACTAGATCAGTGTTGAGTGTCAATTAACAGCTCTTGTCGGCTAGCGTGGGTGTCAAAATCTTGAATTGGTGGGTCGAACGTCAAGATAAACTTTGGGAGTTTCTGCCTGTAAGTTTCCTGGACGAGGCGCTAAACCGGGAGTGAAAGTCCACCCGTACAGGCAAGTCCATTGATTTGGCGCAAACTCATTTACTTCTTACAGTAGACAACAGACTTGAGCAAGTTCAAGTTTTCGTGGGATGCCGGTATTTATGCATCCGAAAGGGGGCTAATAGGTAAAACTTATTATTTTTAGCTTTGCCTCAATCGTCTCCAACAAGTTCAACGGGCACTTGGCATGGCTTTTTTGTACTATTGCTCATCAGAATTAGATTTTCCATAATTGGCTTCTCCCACATTTGTCTATGGTCATTTAGCCATTTTGGAATTCCAGAAACAAGTTATGACATTATTCCGGATCTATGGTGAATGTATTGAGAGCTGCCTGCCGTTCGTGGTCACTAATTTTGGTCAATTGCAGGAGGAATTATTTATTTGTTTTTTTTTCTCGATGTGGCGATTCCGCAAATAAGCAACCCTTTTTTCGTTATTGGTAAAACCCACGATTTTTCTTATGAAAATTCTGTTAGTAAACAATAGCTATGAAGAAAACTGCTGGTGTCTTATTCGACCCTGTTTCCTTCCGGAGATGCCACTTCGCCGGAAGGAGTTCCTCTCAATTTTTTAAAGGAATTCGATAACCCAAATCGGGACTGGGAATGCATAGGATACATGAATCTGACCAAGCGCCGAACAACACATTGGTGAACCTTCAAAATGTGGCAACGATTTTGAGTTGTAGACCGGCTAATTCTTGAGATGGCGTTGGCATTCCTTGTCAGCTAAAAAGAAGGAAGGACGCTAACGGAACTGGGCTGTTTTTCAGCTCATAAGCCCATGTGTTGTCAGGAAATCAGGTTAGCTGAGAGCAGACCCTGGTAATTTCCACCTTTTGTTTGGAATCTGAAGAGAATTTGGCATTTGAACCTGAAGTTATAAATCTTGTTTTCGCAAAAAGGTAAACAGGTTGCTAAGAATTCGAAACGCACTAATCAAGATGCCGATGCTATGACCCCATACTCACGGTTGCAAGCTATCCTGCAAGATGAAAGGTGACTCAGAGCTCATAAATGGCATGAGGTTTCGCCATTCAAACGTCACTCGAATCAGCCGTCTGCTTCAGCGCAGGAATAGCGAGCGATTTTTTCAATCCATAGTCTAAGAAGAATGAACATCGACCCACAGAGAGGCCGGCTGCGGTACTAGGAGAATTTAGGGATAATGAACTGTGCTAGGTGGGTGGACTTCCCCTCAACTGCTTCAAATTTATTTCACACGGGTAACGTGGTGGCGGAAGAAGGATTGAGGAAGGCTACCAGCAGCAGCATCTACTCAAACGGCAAGTGAAAGCAGACACATTTTGGGTTTAGGAGGGTAGAGAAAACAGATGGGTTAAGCACGAAAATGTCAAGTTAGCATCAAGAAAGAATATGATTTTTGTGGTTCAGGCAGATAGGTATGCTGCTAGAATGACGTCCAAGGGATGCTAACCACCCTTCACCGCAGTACTTCCCACTTCATACAATTTCTTCTGAGGATTTGGTAGTCTAGAGATTCAAGGTTAATTCAAGGTTAATTCAAGGTTTAATGGTCTAAAAAGCAATTAACTTTACAACGACCATAGGGTGAACGTATATACACAAAGGGACGCAAAAATATGCGTAATGTTTACTGAGTATCACATGGAGTTAAACAGTTCCAGATTCGGTTTGGACATAAGATATGCGTCTAAATTGTTCTTGAAAATGGTTAAACTCGGCGGATGTACAACATTGGGAGGTAGGGAGTTCCAAATGAAACACACACGGACCGCAAAAAGTTCCGTCGACAGTTCACCCTCGAGTGAGGTACCGCGAGCGAAAAGTCATGCCTCCTGCCCGTTCGTGTTCGACGTCGGACAAAAAGGTCTTCCAGCGGATGATTAGGTGTCTTCAGTATATTATATGTTAGAATTAGGTCTCCCCTGATGCGCCGATAGTAGAAGTCAAATAGGTTGAGACTGGCAATCCTGTCTTCGTATGGTTTATTTTGCAATCCAATTACCAGCTTCGTGGCTCGATGATATATTCGCTGTAGAAGAATTATGTCTTTTTGAAGCCATGGTGACCAAGCTTGTATAGCGTATTCCATGGTTGGTCGGATGTAGGTATTGATTACTCGGGGCAGTGCCAGTCGAGTGAAACGACCAAAAATCCGTTTTAGGAGCGACAGGACTTGTGAGGTCCTCTTGTAGACGGCTGTGCATTGCAAGGAGTTTTTTAAACAGCTGCTGACCCACACGCCAAGATCTTTTTCTTCACTAGTCCAAGAAAGTGGTTGTGGACCCAACGTATAGTTATATGCAAAGGGCTTCCCTACACGGAGCATTTTACATTTTTGGAGGTTAAACGGTAGTCTGTTTTTCAGTGACCAATCATAAAGTGTATCGAGATCTTTTTGTAATCGGTGACTGTCTTCAATGGTGCGTATGCTTGACCATATCTTGATATCGTCTGCGAATAAAGTGATTTTACTGCTCACGAGCTCAGGTATATCGTTTACGTATAATAAAAATAAAGTAGGCCCAAGAACAGAGCCTTGGGGTACTCCACTTGTAGCTGCAATTGGCTTGGACAGAGCGCCGTCAACACATACACGCGCGTCTCGGTCAGCCAAATAGATTTCAAGCCAAGCCAGCAGCTTTCCCGTAATACCATAATGCTCGAGTTTTTGCAACAATATGTTATGGTTCACGCGATCAAATGCCTTGGAGATGTCTAGATAGCATGCGTGAACGGGATTTCCATTGTCCACAGCTTGCGTCCAGTCGTCTAAGGTAATGAGGAGATTGGACAGACAGGATCTGTTTTTTCTGAAACCATGCTGGGCAGCCGAAAGCAATCCGTTTTCCTCTAAGTGTTTAATGATTTTGTTTGCCACCAGTCGCTCAAGCACTTTGGAGATCACCGGCAACAGAGTCACCGGCCGGTAGTTTGACACGACCGAACGATTACCTCCTTTGTATATGGGAGTGATAACGCCCTTCTTCCAGTCGTTGGGAACCACACCGTTATTTAGGGACGAATTGAATAACTCAGCGAGAGGTGTGCATAGGGAATGAGCACACTGCTTGAGGATAAATGGTGTTATCTGATCGGCACCGGGAGATTTTCTGTGATTTAGTTCAAGTAACGTTCGGAGTACACATTCTGGAGTCACAATTACTTCATGTAGGGAGGTGGGCGGTGAGGGAGACATAAACGACATCCGGCTTATATATTCCTTCTGACAGTAAACAGTGGAATAGAACTCCGCCAGTTCTTCAGCTGCAGCTGACGCAGTGGCCGTCAGTCCATTAGGGGTATGCAGAGGTGAAATACCCGGTTTCACAGACGCCTTATTATTAATGATCCAATAGAGAAGCTTCGGATTTTTTTCCATTTTCTCTAAAAGCATTAGCTGGTAATCCTTTTTGTCGCTCGCGACCAGCGTGTTGACTTTATTTCTTAGTAACCGATATTTTTCCCATGTTGTTGTTGTTCGGTGACGTCGGTATTCAGCCCAGGCTGCATTTCGCTCCAGAATCCATTTTCGGGTTCTGCTTCGTAACTTAAAATCGAATCCCATCTGAGTATTCTTTGGAACGAAGTGGGAATGCAAACGTATTTTATTGACCAAGTTCCCCATGAAGCTAGACCATTGCTGGTGGACGTCTGGACCTTCTGAATACCAGTCCGTACAATGACTCAGGGTATTCGACAGTGCTTTCGTGTTCACTTTCCTGATCATTTTAAGCTCATCATTAGGTCTCACCGCCGAACAAACATAATCAAAAATGAGAACGACGTGATCACTCGATCCTAATGGACTTTCATATGCGATGTTTTCCACAACGTTCTCTTCGCTTGTTATGATGAGGTCCAGAATGGAAGGTATATCTGATCCTCTATACCGCGTGTTGCATGATATATGATTGTGAAAGTCAAGATCATGTAACGTCTCCTGGAAGGCACAATCGAGGGAATTTATCGGATGTTGTTGAGTCCGTAGCAAGTTTGGGAGATTGAAATCACCCATAATTAGTATCTTACTTTTATACCGGGAAGCCACGAGGCGCAGCTTCTCCATTATGGTGTAATTGTGCAGTTCCTCCGCTGAAGGTGGTCGATAGATCACACCAACAACACAGTCGTTTCCTGCTACCGTCTTTAACGAGCACCACAAGGTATCCGATAGTATCAAATCTTCATCAGTTAGCTCTTTGCACAATAGTTGCCTGCTATGGTAAATAGCTACACCACCTCCCCGAGAAATGCGATCCCGACGAAGAAGCGTCATTCCAGGGATGGCAAGTTCACTATCCGATAAGCGTGGCTGGAACCAAGTCTCGCTGATAGCAATCAAGTTTGGCAAATGCTTCTCACACAATTCAGATAATTCTGGAATCTTGTTAGTCAAGCATTGCGCGTTCGTGTATAAACATTTAATGGTGTTTATTGACAGCAGTGTTGGGCAGTACACAAGATAATGTGCAGGTTGGGCGGTTATAATTGTGCCGACCCTGGCAGAGTCGGCAGCTGGTCGTTTTTTGAAGTTTCACCTACGGCTTCATCTTCATTAACCTTGGTCTCTTCTGTGGGTATATTGTTCCGCATGGATGTGTTTATCCTTAACTCCCTAGGGAGTAAGTTCCTGTGACGTTGCCATTGTGCTTGGATTAAGTTTAGCATATCACCACGAAGTAGTGTGAGTTTCAGGGGCCTCGGGCCGGTACCCAAATATTTTGGTGATTTCGGAATCCGATAAGTATCAACCACGGCCGCGTTTTCAACTTCAAGTGTACTGCATAGAAATTGCCACTGCAAGTAGTCGTGTGTGTTTTGCGCTATTTTATCTGACGTTTTGTTGGGTTCCGGAACACCCAAGATGATCAAACTGCAGTCATTTGTATGTTTGTTGGTTGAGTTTGTAGGATGAGGTGTATTTTTGCGCGATCTTTCCGACCACGGTATATCAGCGAAAATCCTTTCGCCATTGTCAGCTTCCCTCCTAAGTTGGAATGCTGATAATAGAATGCTCTCCAGGTCTTTCTCGGTATTAACGGTAACTCTGAGAAGTCTTGGCCGTTAGTTATGTGGCGAATTCGGTGGTCGACTTAATCGTGTTAGGGAAACTGGTTCGATAGGTTTTAACTTCATTTTAGCGCAAAGAACCACTCCCTGGTTCGATAGGTTTTAACTTCATTTTAGCGCAAAGTTTGAACCACTCCTCCAGTTCGCGCTTGTGCCTCGCTTGTAATAACGTAATAACGTAATAACGATGATGACAATGTGAAAAACACTTTCAGAAATTTGCGACTACCCTACGTACACGCTTACTACGTTTGGGATCTAATACTGCAACAGGTTACTGCCACTATTCTACATTTGTTTTTCAAAGTGGTAGACCTCAGCTAAAAACCGTGATGGGAAGAAAAAATTTTTCGCAAACGTTACATATTTTATAAACAGCTGATTAAATAATAACGGCCAGAATATGGTAATGCCATTGAAAGTAAACATTACAGAAAAGATTGCGCAAAACTTGCATGAATGCTTTATTTCTGTTCCAAACATCATCTGCTCTGGTATTTCCTCGGAAAAAAGTTCAACCCGTTCCATGGAGCTGCTATACCGAGGGATATTTAGATGACCTTTTCCAACCACATCGCATCAAGCCGTTTCCAAATCATTGTACTATGTTTTTTCTGAGCGCGCAGAAGACCTTTTAACTGATTGGTTCGCTCCAGCCTCGTCCACACCAATGTTGCTGGTGGCTGAATCTCCGTACACCTGTCAATCTGGATATTCTACGGGTTATGAGGCAGGTTACGATCAAAATTACAAGTTGAGCAGCCAGAAATCTTTGCACTAAGGTGCAGAAAAAGACATGATCGTGTGAGAGGTGTGTGATATTGGGTTGTCTCGTTCAACTACACTACCCTTCTGTGTGCTCAAGTTAGTGGTATTATTGAACACCTTGACGTCTGTATTTGAGCGTCAGCTTCACAAATCATCCACTATTGCTGGTTCGTTTGGGGGCAGAAGTATTAAAATGGGGAATCTCCAGATGATTTTGCTACCACGTTTCGGCTGTCAAATATCTCCGTTTTGTTTAAAAGAGGATCGTGAATGCTGAGCTTAGCTAACTAAGCAAAGGGTAAGCAAGTTTCAGACATAACACGATACTTGTAAAGTTGCTGAAAACTCTCTGACACACCACAGCAGTTTCGCCCTTCTCGAAGCTCATCAGGTAGGCACAGTTCCCAGGTTCTCATCAACCTGCTGTGGCACAAACAGTTGAAAAAAAA